TGAAGGCTACAATGTCTCTAGATCAGACATGGAGGATTTCCCCCTCACGCTGGAGTCAGCTACCCCCTCCCAGACATCTGTGTACTTCTGCGCCAGCATGACTCCACAGTGCTGCACGGCTGCCTCCTCTCTGCACATAAAGAGCAGTCAGAAAGTTTTAGGTTGCCTGTGTCTGGCCCCACCCAGGGACATCCTGGCCTCCATAGGAGTCCCAGAGCCTTTGCCAGGCTGGGCGCTTTAGGGAAGTGGTTAACGTGACTCTCAGTGAGGTCCGTCCCTGAGCCAGTCTCAGGATGACTGGAGCTCACCCCAGTAGCCTGAGCTGGCCGGGTCTCTCCCCTGCTGCTCTCTCTTTCTGCTCACAGAAAGAAAAATGCATGTTTATTTGAGATTTTTGCGATTTCCTTGATCATCTCAAAGCCACCATACTCTTCTCTCCCCCATGGCTCCAGTGACTTCCTCACCTGACCCTTCCCCTGCCCTCTACCCTTCAACTCTCGGTCATGAACCTTCTTCACTCATGGTCACTGTCCTGGCTGCCTTTCTTCTAAGGGGCAACAGCCCTGCAGACCCTGTAGCGTGTGCCCTGTGCCTGCCTCTCCACCGTCGTCCTGCACCGCGTTTCCCGGCTCTCCCCGCTCCAGCCACGCTGCCCTATGTGCAGTCAGCTCCTCACACGCGCTCTGTCATTTTCCACCCTCGGGGGCTTTTTCACACTGAGCACACGTCCCTCCTTCTTATTCCCAGGTCTCTACTTCGTTCCTTACATGAGAGTACATTTTAGGTTCATTTACTCTTAACTGTAAAAAACAAAACAAATTTCACTGGAAAGAATTAAGAAAAATATCTTTACTGTTCATTTGAGAGATGAGATTTTTTTTAAGGGGAAACACAGAAAAATACACAAGCCATAAAGAAAGGTATGTATAATTTCAATTGCATTACAGTAAATTTTTACATATCTAAACACAGCATAAAATGTGAAAAGTTAAACCACAGTCTGAGAAAGGCATGAGGAGTACACACACATGAGGAAGAATCAGTGTGATGAGACCATCTCTTCTCTCCTAGCCAGCCATGGCTTCTCTACAGTTCCTGGTTCATTTGCAGCTGGAGGGTTGAGAGCACGTCAGCAAGACTCTGAATAATTTTGCTTCCTCCAGCAGCAAAAATGCATTGAACAGGTGTGCAATATAAGCCAATGGAGCCCATTAAAGACTCAGTGCCCAAAAGGTTTTATTGAGTCTCGTCATATAGGCACCGACTGCCTAGCAAGTACCGAAAATCCAGACCCCAGAAGGAAACCTGGTGTCCAGCATAATATGGTTTGCCACAGCAGTGTAGGCACAATGAGCCACTCCTCTCGGTTAGGAGGAACTTTCTATTGGTTCAGGGCACTGTTCACCAGCCCAGTTCTTAGATGCCAGTCAAAGGCCAACCTTCCAAGCTAGGAAGGCCAACCTTTCTAAATACAGCAGTCCCAAGCTGTGTCAACTATTTTCTGCATAGACACCCTTCAACTCCCTTTTGCCATGCCTTGATGAACCTGGGTGCTACACAGTACACAATGCCTAATTGTTATATGGAAGCAGCCTGGCTCACTGGTTCATAATCTGGTGGACAACCACCTAAGAAGGCTGCTCATTCCACACTGGACTTCGTGGTCCTGGGAATTAATACTTCATAGAATTAAGCTGCTGTAATTTTAGAATTTTGTTTAGTTTGTTTTTGTTTTCTGTAGCATAGCTGTCTTGTCTAAAAGAGTTAACATCTGGAGTAGGTAAAAAAATTTCTTACTACTTAATAATAAGAAGACAATCCAATAAAAATGCCAATCCTTTTGCTAAATAGGCAATTCACAGAAGAGGAAACATGAATTATCACTAAACATGACAGCAGGTTTTCAACCTTACTTATAATCAGAATATTGCCACCTGAAACAATGTTTATGATTTCAAAATTACTAGACCGAAAAAATTTCAGAGGAATGACAGTCCTAAATTTGAGTTGATGTATGGGCTAGTGGAAACTGCCCATATATCCACTACAAAAATAATTACAAATATATCAGAAAATCCATTGTAGGGTATATTCCGACAAATAGCATTTCTGGAAAAATCCATGTGTTTAAATCACTTGGGTTCTTTTTACTGTCTTCAGGTTTCATCATGGAGAATTTAACTGTCAGCATTTATTTTTGCTATTTTGAAGTTTGTCTTTTTATAAAATCTTTTACAAAATTGTGATAAAATATAGGTAATATTTAATTTGTTACTTTATTTTTAAATGTACAATTCAGTGACATCAAGCACATTCACAATGTTGTCAAATCATCACTACTATCTATTTCCAAAATATTTTTCATCCCCTCAAACAGAGACTCTGTATCCATGAAAAAAATAACAAAAATAACTCCATATTCCCCACCCTGGTAACCTTTGATCTACTTTCTGTCCCTATGAATTTGCCTGTTGTAGATAGTTTATATATGTGAAATCAATATTTTTCCTTTTATGTCTGGCTTCTTTCACTTAGCAAAGTGCTTTCAAGCTTCATTCATACTGTAGCATTTATCAGAATTTCTTTCCTTTTATTGCTGAATAATTTTCCGTTGCATGTGTATACCACATTTTGTTTATCCTTTCATCAGTTGGTAGACATTTGGGTTGTTTCTACCTTTTGACTATTGTGAATGGTACTGCAATGAACATTGGCCTGAAAGTATCTGTTTGATATCAGTTTCTTCCAAGCATTGTCAGCACTTGTTATTTCCTGTT